TGTCGGCACCATTACCCTTACAAGGGTAAATGTGCGTGTTTTTGCACCTCGCAGAAGAGGCGATTGAGCCGATACATGAAAGAATGGGGGGTTTGTCGCCAGCCGCGACTGACTACTGTATGTCAGAAGTGGCAGGCGTATGTATAGCTTGATTAGAGAGTGTGTGAGCATGCACTTTGCGGGCATGCGCGAGTTGTTTGACTACCGGGTAACTTAGGAGTTTAGACCGGACTGTGTGGGCCGCAGTTTCGCGACCACTGATAAAGTCGTGGCCGACATAAGTGTAACTAGAAGGACTACGGCCAGGAAGGAGTCCTGGCTGACCCTCTGAAAGCCGACCTCTTTTTGGGTCGCATAGTGCGGGTCGCACAATACTGAGTTGACTATGTGTCACAGGGGACCGGAGGTTGGACGAATGGATATGGACTGGTCTCGGTAGGGGCGGATGCCGGGCTTCTTCCGGTAGGACGGCAGTAAAAAGGCCGGCCACGGCGTGGCCAGGAAACCCACACACTGCGGTTAATGGTACGCAAGACCGGCATGTGCGGCAAGACACGCAAATGCCTGCCTCGAGGCGGTGCTGTACGGCGCTGCAAAGCCATGGCTTGGGGGACATGCCTTGTTGTGGGCTTGGCATGCCTCCGCAGGCCTAGGAAATCTGCGGATACTGTTTATAGGTAAGTTTGCGCCTGCTACCATTAGGCTGGGGCTTAGCCCTATTGGTTACGGCGTTGGAGTTTCACCAGGCGGATCTCGGGATGAAGGCCAGCAAGGGGCAGTGAAGTAGCGGAGGAGCGTTTGAAGGGAACTACGGGGTTGAGGGTCCCGCGGGACTATCCCTTTTAGTTTTGCTAGGGGAGTCCGACGCCGGGCCCGCTGGGATAGGACCAAGTGCCGGCGGTCCTCCTCCCTCCTCCGCCCTCTTTTCCCAAAATTTTCTAAGTCACGATTAGGGTTTTTTTATTATTATTTTTTTTTATTTTTTATTTTATTTGCAGCAAAATACTGATGTTCCAGAAGTAAACTATCGTGATACCGTTGTACTATTTAGGCATGCGGGCACTTGAGTGCATCATGTCCCCGTGGAAGACTACTAAGTGAGGACTGAAACTTATATAAAAAGCAGGGGCGGTAGCTACTCAGTTTGTACCAGCATTGCTAGGCCAGGCCACAGCCTGGGGTTGCTGTTACCAAACGTCACCACTAGGTGCCAGAGATGCTGCCAAGGAAGGTCGCGACAGACGGTGGCTAGTGCTAGGAACCAGTACTACAACGAAACTTTAGCTGTGTGGCTTCTGCTGCTGAATGTCGGGTCCGGCTGTTTGAAGCTGCGGCCACAGCCTGGGGTTGCTGTTANCCAGTACTACAACGAAACTTTAGCTGTGTGGCTTCTGCTGCTGAATGTCGGGTCCGGCTGTTTGAAGCTGCGGCCACAGCCTGGGGTTGCTGTTACTAAACGTCACCACTAGGTGCCAGAGATGCTGCCAAGAAAGGTTGCGACAGACGGTGGCTAGTGCTAGGAGCCAGTACTACAACGAAACTTTAGCTGTGTGGCTTCTGCTGCTGAATGTCGGGTCCGACTGTTTGAAGCTGCGTCAGGGCGGTGGCTGCTGATGTCGTACTTTGCTATGAATATACTCTGTGGCCACTGTTATGAGGAGACTATAAGCATTGTACAACTGTTCAAACAGGGCTTCAGATGCTGAAGTAGCAGTCCTGCTGGGTTTGTTATAGCTACCACCACTACAACGGGATCAGGCTGCCACTGCACTGGGACTGAAGAGTTGCTGCTGTATCGAGCTGCCCGCTGTGCCTTGCCATAGCGGACTACTGTGCATGGTGATTGTCTGTTGACGGGCTCGCTAATGTGCAGAGCGCCACCCCTATTGCTTCACTACAGATCTGAGCGTTGTTCCTCATTACGTACAACTGCAACATAGGCCTAAGTGAGGATACTCAGAGTGGAGGGAGTGACTAAGGCAACTGGAGGGATTTTCAAGAGACTGCGGGCTGTTCACCAACTATTACTGCTGCTACAGGCGGGGGGTAACTGGTGTTACAAGTTCTGAACCGGGTTGCCATATCACACACAGACCGTAAGTGGCTGCACTTTTGAGGACTGCTGAATACTCGTTGCCCTGTTGAATGCTGCTGGGGCCTGCTGTGTATGGCTGCGGACTTGAGGAGATGAGCAAGCTACGCACACGGTGGTTATCACAGAGACTTAGGGGCCACTTTTGAAGGCAAGCACCGTCCTTTGCTGTGGGTGACTGGTGTGCACTCCGCCTAATGCTGTTGCTACGGTAACTATACCAGTACCTCCGAGAAGCCACAACCACAGGCTGTGTATTGATAGGCGTTATCAGGTTGTTCCAGCAGGGTACTGGGCAGATCCTCTTTGCGGCGGGGCTGCTGCTGCTAGTACCTACTGCTGGTTATTACGGACTGTGGGAGACTGCTGCGGCCTGCTGTATCTGCTGTGTACCGCTGTGGATACTGCGGACTGGGCACGAACTGTGGTTGCTGCTGACTAGTGGCTGTGACTATTGGCACAACTTATTGCTGCTGTTGTGCATCACGACTACACTAGGCTGTTACAGCCCTTAGCCGAATAGAGCACGGGGGGGGGGGGTGTGCTCTATTCGAAAAACGGCCTTTTCTGGGCTAAGTAACTGCAGTTTTGAGCACGTAACTTGGAGGGAGGAGTCAGACTCTGCAGAGGGGTTGCTACTACGACGTGGAGGATTGTCAGGGGGGCTGGCATTCTGCATTTTCCTATGGATTGAGAGGTTCTATTGCGTTCCTGGCTGCCATTGCGGGGCCCTCAGGCGCATCAAGATTTCAAGGCCCTCTCATTGTAAGTTGAGTTGTACCTCTCCTGGATCTCGAGAGTCTGATCTA